CGCCCCTTCCCCTGCGCCGCCGCCGCCGCCCGGGAGAGGGGGCGGGGAGCGCGCTGAGAGTCGGGACCCCCCCGCGAGGGCGAGGCCCCAACTCCCCGCCCGGCCCTTTCGTGCCGCACCTGGGGAAGGGCGGTGGGGGCAACATTTTGGTTTTCCTGGACGTGCGGAATGGGGGCGTTGGGGCGAGTCCCCACCCAGTCCACTTCAACTTCCCGGCCTCCCCACTTCTCTCCAATCCCACCCGAAGACTGGCCGGGGAAACTCCGCCCTATGGGGCACCCAGCTCCAGCTGGAGTCTGGCGGGGGTCCCCGGTGAATCCTCACCTGGGCTTACCCCAGGTCGGAAGGCTTGGATCAGGATCTGGATTGGAACCCCTGCCTACTACTGAAGGCTCCGTCTCTGCCGTCTGCCTTCCACTGTGACTGTGCTGGCCCTCCCTGCAGCTCCATTTTCCTCTTTAAACAGGGAAAATGCCTGCTGACCTCTTTGAGCAGGGGGAAAACACAGATGACCATGAAAACACTTCCAAATGCCAAATCCTCTGGAGGCGCTGTGTGGGAGAGGTCTTAGGATAGGGGCTAGGGATTCCGACGTGCAACTTCCAGTCACTAAATACCTCTGCTGTGGTGTACGCCAGTGGCACCAAAGAACGAATGGCCTCTCTGAGGACACAGTTTACTACCACTAAATGTGGCAACATCAGGCAGAGGCAAATAAATGCTCCCAAGGTGAGGCTAGTCAGGAGTATTAAGGGAGAGTTAAAACTAGGTCCGAAGATCTTGAAAAAGCGTGCGTGCCTGCGTGGCGGAGGTGGGGGTGGGGAGCTGTTGTCAGGCCGAATAGTGGATGGAGGATAGATCTTTCAGTAGGTCACGGAACGTGGTAAGTCCATTCACATGACTTGAAGAGAGATATTTCAGGCAAAGTGTCTACATTTATAATGAAGAGGGGGGAAATCCTGAATCCAATAGGAACTTCGATTACACTAAAAGCTAAAGAAACTGATCTTTTGGATTCCATTAATAGATCTCTAGGTACTTTTCCCTACTCTGGGTTTCAGGTGCATGCTGTGGGCTCTGGAATTAGGCCCACTTGGGTTCCAGTCCCAGCACCTCAGCTCACTAGCTGTGCAACCTTAGGCACATTACTGAACCCCTCTGTGCTTCCCTTCCTTCATCTCAAAGTGGATATAGTCAGAGTACCTTAGATGATTATTGGAAAGACAAAATAAGAGAACGTGTGAGGATGACTTAGACCATGCTTGACACAGTACCCATAAAGGCTGAGGGTCAGGAAACGCCCCATAATGGCAGCAAGAATTGCCCACAGATGAAAGGGACAAAAGAGATGTTGTCACTTAGCTGAGGCCCAACCGGCTGTTCAACTCACCCTGACCCCATATGGGTTCTGCAGCTGCCTTCTCATTGGTTGACAGTCCTGGTAAATACTCTACAGACCTCCTTATTGGGCCATTAGTGATTCTGCTTGCTTCTACTGAAGGAAATAGGAAAGAAGATGCAAACTGAGGTGGATTCCTCACTCTAAGAGGGAACTTCACCTTGAAGGAAATGGCTTTTCCTAGGTAAGACAGGTATTAGGTTGTTGAGAAAAGTCATGACGTATTTCTCTGTTTTTCTATGCAAAAGCTGTGTGGGAGAGGTCTTAGGATAGGGGCTAGGGATTCCGACGTGCAACTTCCAGTCACTAAATACCTCTGCTGTGGTGTACGCCAGTGGCACCAAAGAACGAATGGCCTCTCTGAGGACACAGTTTACTACCACTAAATGTGGCAACATCAGGCAGAGGCAAATAAATGCTCCCAAGGTGAGGCTAGTCAGGAGTATTAAGGGAGAGTTAAAACTAGGTCCGAAGATCTTGAAAAAGCGTGCGTGCCTGCGTGGCGGAGGTGGGGGTGGGGAGCTGTTGTCAGGCCGAATAGTGGATGGAGGATAGATCTTTCAGTAGGTCACGGAACGTGGTAAGTCCATTCACATGACTTGAAGAGAGATATTTCAGGCAAAGTGTCTACATTTATAATGAAGAGGGGGGAAATCCTGAATCCAATAGGAACTTCGATTACACTAAAAGCTAAAGAAACTGATCTTTTGGATTCCATTAATAGATCTCTAGGTACTTTTCCCTACTCTGGGTTTCAGGTGCATGCTGTGGGCTCTGGAATTAGGCCCACTTGGGTTCCAGTCCCAGCACCTCAGCTCACTAGCTGTGCAACCTTAGGCACATTACTGAACCCCTCTGTGCTTCCCTTCCTTCATCTCAAAGTGGATATAGTCAGAGTACCTTAGATGATTATTGGAAAGACAAAATAAGAGAACGTGTGAGGATGACTTAGACCATGCTTGACACAGTACCCATAAAGGCTGAGGGTCAGGAAACGCCCCATAATGGCAGCAAGAATTGCCCACAGATGAAAGGGACAAAAGAGATGTTGTCACTTAGCTGAGGCCCAACCGGCTGTTCAACTCACCCTGACCCCATATGGGTTCTGCAGCTGCCTTCTCATTGGTTGACAGTCCTGGTAAATACTCTACAGACCTCCTTATTGGGCCATTAGTGATTCTGCTTGCTTCTACTGAAGGAAATAGGAAAGAAGATGCAAACTGAGGTGGATTCCTCACTCTAAGAGGGAACTTCACCTTGAAGGAAATGGCTTTTCCTAGGTAAGACAGGTATTAGGTTGTTGAGAAAAGTCATGACGTATTTCTCTGTTTTTCTATGCAAAAATGTGTCATGACTTTTCTGATGATCCAATAGGGGGCCCAAATGAATCCAGGGAAATAAATGCTCATACTCATGAAAAATTGAGGGTACTTCAACATACTGGACTGATTTCAAATTCACTGTGTCATCTCGGCCTCTGTGTTGCAGCTGGTTGTGTACTGAACTGCAGTACTGGAAGCCACATGGCTGATTGTGGGTTTGGATCCCCAGTCCTGTTGCCCTGAAAGTCGCTGGCCTTGTATACTCAGGTCCACTCTCCTGGTAAGGTGGAGGGATGAGGGAGATGGCAAGGAGTGACCAGATCCAGTTGAGAGTGTTTTCTTTCTCTCTTTTTCTCTCTCGTGTGCCCATGTCTACACACATACACTCTATCATGAATAATTAAAAAAAATTCATGGTGTGACAGAAGAGAAACGCTGAGGCACAGTAAGCAAAGCGAAAGAGTTTATTTAAGCCTAGGTAGAACAATCACTTGGGACCACACTATCCAAGTTGCCCTGAATGTGTGCTGAGGTTTTACAGATTTCAGGATGAGTTATTTTAATATTATTTTTAATGCTATAGGGTACATTCATATGAGAGAGAAAGAGAGAGAAAGCACTCCCCCATTGGGGCTATGCCACAATTTCCGCCAATTTGCCATCCTCTTAGAATTCTGGGCACACACTTGGTGGCAACAGGGCCAAGATTTGAACCCCAGTCCGTCATGTGGGATCCAACTTTCTCTGCTCACTGCATGATGGGCTGGCCTAGACTTCAGGTAGGTTTTAAAGGCGAAAGTCACAAAGGGGAGGGTGCAAGGGATCTTCTGTCTCAGTGACTGGCTGAATTCAATGGTAAGGGGAGCAGGATGACCTCATGGATCCTTGAATCCACTTTGCTTAATCTTAAGTGCGGAAACAGTGAGTCTGGCACACTGTTTTAATTGCAAACATTCTGAAGGTTAAAACTAAAAGGCATGTCTGATGGAAGTTTGTAAAGGAAGAATGTATTTGAGCAATAAGAATGTTCATAAAACAAAAAGTCCAGTGAGTCTTGAGTTATTCCTGAGAAAGTCACGGGATGTGCGTAAGTTTTATTTCCTTGTAGCGCTGACTCAGGTAGACAGCAACCTCCTGTTTTCGAGAAGAACTGTTCTATTCTGGAATCTATTAGCTTCCTTAAAGTTTCAGTTTGATTATGTGACATTTCAGCATGAGTGAATCCATTTTGGTCTGGCCTGTTTGGGCCTAGAGCGGAAACTTAGTCCAAAACAATGGCCTCCTATCATTTTAATTTTTAAAAGAAAGAATTATTTTACTTAACTTGTTTATTTATTTTAATTTGACCAGAGAGGGACAGAGTGAGAGAGAGAGAGAGAGAGAAAGTGAGAAACCAAGTCACCAGGTCCGGGACTCAAACTGCATTAGCCATGTAGGAGCCCAGCACCCTCAGCCACCATATCACCTGCCAGCCCCCTATCATTTTAACTTATTTTTAAAAAATATTTATTTTTAGTTTAATTTTATTTTTTATTATTATTATTTAACTTCATGAGAGAAGGAGAGAGAGAGAAAGAAAGTGAAAAAGCAAGCCACCAAGGTCCAAGACTTGAACTGTGGTCGGCCATGTGGGAGTCCAGCACCTTAACCACCACACCACCTGCTAGCCTCACTATCAATTTTTATTTAATAACTGCTTGCAGTGCTTAAAAATGGGGCAGTGGTTGGGGGCCAGCAGGTGGCATAGTGGTTAAGGCACTGAACTCCCACTTGGTTGACTGTGGTTTTGAGTCCCCGACCTGGTGACTTAAAACTCATGCCAGGCACTGTGCATGTGTGCCCAAAATCCTGAGAGGAGAATGGAGGAGAAGAAATTGTAGTGTAGCCATCCCCCTTAGGGGCTAATTTCTCACTTTCAGTCTTTCTGTAGTTCTGTCTCTCTGGGAAGCGCATATGCTCTATAGCAAAAATCTTTCTCTCAAAAAAATAAAAAATAAATAAAAAATAAGGAGGGGGGCAGGGGCTGGTTGTGGTCTGGAAGTCCAAGTTTCAATGATCCATTCTCATCCTGGTTCAGCCACTTTAAAAGCCACCGCACAGATGTCTCTTTCTCTCTGTCTGCGTCTCTGTGTGTATGTATTCTGTGAAATGGAGGAGC